TGAAAAAAAAAACAAGGTAGCAGTTCATAGGACATTGCATGAGGCGAGAAGATGAATCGAGTATGAATTGCTGTCCCTCGACTTTCCCCTCGCGCGCTGCCTAAGCAATCATATGAATGATTGTCATCGTACAGAGAAAATAAGAACCGCAAGTCTGCGTGGGCAGCTGGTGCCAGTAGATATATTTAAATATTATCAACACGTATAGCAAATCACTTGACTGAATAATACGACGAAAATTTTGCATGTCTACTTGAAAACTACTTCGGAACACGAATCAATACCTTCAAGAAAGTGGTAATAAATAAAAGCAAATTTGCCTGCTCTTTAGAGAGCACCAGACAACCGTTAACTCCACCAATTATCACACACCATTGCCAGTCGATATATGCACGCGCTCCTGGAAAGCGATCGAGATCATACCAGTTGCTGGATCGGAATTAGCAATGAGCTTGGCATGGTATTCTCGAACACCAAGGATCAGGCGCGGTCCCAACACAGACATCTGCACGACCTGCGCAATCTGAAGAACCCCAGCAATAATCTGAGGGGCCAGGGAAACCCTCTATAAAAACGATAAATTGTGGTAGCATGCATAGGCAAGAGAAAGATTGACATACTGTCAAGAATGTTGGATATCAATCAAGAATGAGTTGGAGACAAGAAACAGCAACAACGCTACCACGTCCGACCCGTCAGTGGAAAGAGGAACAATAATCACAATATGAGCTTACCTCGCAAAGTAAACCACATGAGTTTTCATCAACACCGTGAAACAGTCCTCGATAATCCCTCCTGCTGAATGTTGTCGCAGTTCACGTAAGTGTTTTACCGCAATCCAGACTGCGAGACATAGCACGAGGACCTCCCATACAGTGCTGAGCATCCAAGTCACAGACATAAGAAGTGGGATATCTTCTGCGTTAGCATAGTTAATCTGGCACTGATAAGTGCCAGAGAGAATGAGTTCCTCTGGTAACCATCAATGAGCTCAATGCACATTTATTTTCATTCACAATTCAACCCACCCCCTGAAGTATGCATTGTTGTCATTATGGTGGCCACTGCATCGAAAGCGTTGATAGCCAGGAAGGTGACAATGAGAAATTTCTGGATCTTTCTGGATCCTTGATACATGGCATGCAACCGAGCGATGATGATGACTTGCAGCATGTTTCAGTCAAGTCAATATCACTGGGGTTTCGCAAGTGCAAAGCTCACCCCACAGCATCGCAACTACCACAACACTAATCCAATCCCATACAGTGTACACAATCCAGCCTGAAGAATCCAGTCAGCGACCAGCCTCGGGTAGCACACACTCCAAACAGACTCACATCTGTGGCAGTATAGCATGGCAGTCATTAGTGAACCAAGAAGTTAGCAAAGAACCACACCCACTGCTACAGGGAACCACGGTTAATTGGAGGGGAATAGGACTAGGCATCTGTGCAGAAGACTCACTGTATCTGTCAGCAAGATGGTTGGAACACTGTCTGTACGCCGTTGGTCAGAATAAGTAAAGACAGCGAATGTACTAAGGGGGCATACTCAGAATGTTCAGGCTGGTTATGAGAGATAGACGATTAGCACAACACTGATTGTGTAGCCTTCTGAACATACGCAGAAAATAAGATTCCAAGGTAACGTGCCTAGGATAGTTTCAAGTCAGCATAGCATGGTAACCACGACAAACAAGCTACATACACCGAGATACATAACTGTCATTAGGGACCATCGTTGTCTCTGGAATCGAGTTTATTTTCATGTGTTCCCCTTACACCAGACTCTACTCACCCAGATCAATTCCACCTGTAAAGCCATTCTCAGTGAGATGACTGCTCTGGTCATACCATCAACATACCTCTTGTCCGAATGTAAGTGCTGAAAATAATTGTAAGACGTCAGCAGTCTTTAATGTTCAAATCATGCTCACCCCAATCATACACCACTGCAACAAAGGCGGTGACTACGAAACCACAGCCAAGGTTAGACAGAGTCAGCTTCACCATCCGACTGCTCCCCACGAACCTATAAAATAGCTACTCAAATTATATGCATTGATGGCCGACCACCAAGTCGCATCATTTGAAATTATGGTCATATTAGTAGAGAATGGGTGTGGGTGAAAGGCGAACTTGGTAGATGTATGACAATAACATTCACAGTATATATATGTATCCTGCTATCCAGTGCGAAATAAGATCAAGGGGTGAAATCTGTGCGATCCGCGTAGATCAAGCAGTTGCATGGTCACCGAGCTGTCATGTGATAAGGATGCTAATCAAAATGGTACTAGTGCAGAACCTTTAATTTGCAACGTGGATGTGAAAGTCGACGAGCGGTAACGTTCACTTGTCGGGTGGAGTTCTCGTACTCCTTATATATAGAAAATTGATTCCAGCTTGGAACTTTGGAGGTTAGGATATGCCTAGAGTGTTAACTCTTCGCAAGCAGACGAGTATGAGATTCAACATATGTGGAGACAGCCTGAAGAAAGGCACACATACCTAGTATTACACGTGTACGAGCGAAGAACGTTAAGTCAGTAGTAGGACGGTATCACTTGGCTAATAATGACTGGATCCGGAGTGTGTCATATGGTGCGGTCCTGGATAGTGTTGTGGGTCCAGGGTTGGTTGGTTGTGGGCACTGGGCAGAACTACTTGAGGTTAGTTTTGCCGGCAGAACCAGCAGAATACTAACCGGTTCTGTCACCAAGTGGCATAACTAGGCTTAGCGGTGAAATTTTCCTATCTACAACATCAATGAGTCAATGACAGACTGACAGTCCTATCAACGACGCCTCGTCCCATCCATCATTCTCACCATCATGATCTACGACTCATCAATGTTCTGCCAGCAATTTTTTCACAGAGTTCTGCCATCTGCCAGCACAACTAGTTCTGCCTACAACACTAGCACCGTACAGAACGTGGAATTAGTCATATCACGAACCAACAACGTCCTGAAATAAAGCTCAAGTTGTCATACCGTCGTACTAGTGGGAAAAGAATGTACATACCTTTAATGTGTCGCGGCTTTGGTTCGTGTTTTGTCTTGCTCTTAACTTCTTCTGCATACTCATCGTCTGCGTAATCCACGACACCCATTATAATCACTGCAAGCACCTGAGTCCATCAATTAAAACATGTTACAGATGCTGGATTGTTGTTGATAGCAAGGACAGAGGCGCCTTACGACCGCATCAAATTGCTGACCGAAGCAGCCTCACCCTGTTTTCTACAGGCCCAGAAAAGATACTACAGTGCCAGGCATTCCCTGTGACATTACCTTCTTCGAGTAATGCCCTCAAATCTCCAAGAGTATCACCACGACCTATAACCTTCTCGTACGCACGTTCCAAATTTGCAATCCTAAATCAATCTAATGTCGATGTCATCTTAGCCGCATACTAGCTACATCGAAAGATTCGTGGGTGAGTGACTGATTCATATGTGTACATGCACAAACCGGTTTCCTTCCCACTGGCACTTGATTCGATATCATTACCTTGCATTCTCCCCCAACTAAGCTTGCGCATCGGTGCAGGTCATGACTCTGGGTTAATCATAAATGCATTCCCGTGGAAAAACGTGAGCTTCCACGCATCCAAGAATCACATCTTCGACTTGCAACTTTCGGCCTCGGCTGTCACCAACACCACCTACTCAGTCCTCCGCAACCACTCCCTCCAACGTTTGTTATACTCAGAGCGACTCATGTCATTTTGTTTGAAATATTCTATCACCTGTGCCAACCTGTGCATACTGAAATTCTCGTCCAGTCTATTCTCATAACAATTTCCAATACAGCACACTTCAAATGTCTTCGAACATTCCCTTCCCCTCAAATCTCCCAGAATGTCACCACAACTTATAATGTTCTCACACGCACGTTCCAAATCCTGAATCAATCTAACGTCGAATTCCAATGATGACATTTTGGCCGCACACCAGCTACATCGAAAAACTCACCTCGATCTCACTATCACATCCACAGCCTGACCTCAAGTAGCAGATACTCGACTCCTGCACTATTGCTGGTGCTGGCGCCCGCATGTCCATTCCTAGGTGCGTCCCTTGTGGCCGTTTTGAGCCACGTCAACAAGTTGTTGTTGTTTTATGTTTCGTGTCCGGTTAGCACCCTGGATTCCTTCAAATTCCCCTGACTCCCCAGAGGCGCCGGGTCTCAGCTGAAGAGTCACGGCCTTCATATCGCAATGCTTAATAGGGTACATGTATCCCCTAGTAGTGTTTCAGCAACTATGTCAAACACGTTTATAGTTGTATCCATATGTCCACCTCGGCGAACGAAAGTGAAAGGCAAACTCCTCCACAAACATTAACCAACTTCAGCCTCCCCAAAACTCATCAAGTATATATCGCATCATTGAGCTACGCATGCATGAACGCGCTTCGCGCACCTTGTGATCACCTTGAATGGATCATCATCCGTAGGCCAGTTGGCGTGAGCCAGTTGAGAAAAGAAGGTAGCAGTCCATAGGACATTAAATGAGACAAGAAGATGAATCAAGTATGAGGAACTGAAGTTGTGTGCTGTCCCTCAACTTTTCTCTCGCGCGCTGCCTAAAGCAATCATATGGATGATTTTCATCGCATAGAGAAAAAAAAAACAGTGGTTGGTGCAAGCGGGCAGCTAGTGCCAGTAGAGATATTTATCGATTTAAAAATGATTAGCACGTATAGCAAATCACTTGACTGAATGATAGGACGAAAATTTTGTATGTCCCCTTTAAAACTACTTCGGAACACCCATCAATACCTTCAAGAAAGTGGTAATAAATGAAAGCAAATTTCCCTGCTCTTTGGAGGGCACCAGACAATCATTAACTCCACCGATTATCACACACCATCACCAGTCGATATTTCCAGCGCTCCTGGAAAGCGATTGAGGCTAGGGCTCCGTGAAAAACTACCGAGTTTTTGACGTTGGAGTTTTTGACAGGTTTTTAACGTGTTTTTAACGAGTCGATAACTCGGGGTTGATATTGGGGTGTCAAAAACTAAAATATATATGTATATGATCTCGGGAACATAGCCTATCGAATTCTCCATCCGAACATCCGAAATCACCGAAAAATCGTTAAGATATGACCGACGATCTGTCAACTACCGTCCAATTGAGCGTTCGGCTCAATGATTGCAACAAAAAATCTACCTTGATGAGCTTCTTCGAGGACATTGGGCGCAACAACGCACAGTTGAGCCACCTCCGAACGGCACTCGCACAACTTCCACATAGTATCCCCCTCGGAAACTCCAAATATAATTTTGAGCACTATGCTCCAGATCCGGAGAGGGTCGAACTCTATGGCAGTACCGAAGCCGCACTGAATAATGTGCTCGAGGTCACATTTGCACCCAGAGGCCAGAAGGATGAGTCGGCACCGTGTCTGTTCGAGTTTCAAGAGCGTGGGCCAGGTCTTGTTGCAGTCGTTGATGTCCTAACGGCTGCGGACTCTAATTCAGACTCGGAGGACAATTGGTTGGAGGAGAGCGAGGACCCAGAGATTGAGCGTGATCCAATGTACAGGTCTTGTGATACGAGAGTACTTGTGGGTAGCGAGGATGCTCATCTTGATGCTCCTCGATTGTTGGACTTACTATCAGAGAAGACGGTGGAAGGGGCAAGCAGGACACCTCAACTACAGGATAGCACAGTTCCAACGCCTCCGGGAGGGCCTGTACAGTGGGCATTTGCATTACCATAGTGAAAAAATGTCAAAATGACCTGAAAAAACGCATTTTTTGAGTCTGTCAAAAACTGGTCAAAAACTAGTTTTCAACTCGTGTCAAAAACCCCTCGAGGGTGGGGGTGAGTTAAAAACTCCGTGGGTAGTTTTTCACGGAGCCCTAATTGAGGCCATACCAGTTGCTATGTCAAAATTGGCAACGAGCCTAGCGTGGTATTCCCGAATACCAAGAATCAGGCACGGTCCCAACATACACATCTGCACGACAGCCAAAATCTGAGCCACCCCAAAAATAATCTCAGAGACCAGGGAATCGCTCTATAGAAACGATAAATTGTGGTAGCGTGCATAGGCAAGTGAAAGATTGACATACTGTCAAGAATGTTGGATATAAATCAAGAATGAGTTGGAGACAAGAAACAGCAACAACGCTACCACGTCCGACCCGTCAGTGGAAAGAGGAACAATAATCACAATATGAGCTTACCTCGCAAAGTAAACCACGTGAGTTTTCATTAACACCGTGAAACAGTCCTCGATAATTCCTCCTGCCGAATGTTGTCGCAGTTCACGAAAGTGTTTTACCGCAATCCAAACTGCGAGACATAGCACGAGGACCTCCCATGCACTGCCGAGCATCCAAGTAGTCGAAACCAGAAGTGAGATATCTTTCGAATAGTTAATCTGGCACTGATAAGTGCCGGAGAGAATGAGTTCCTCTGGTATCAATGAGTCTCATGCAAGTTTATTTTCATTCAAAATTAAACGCACCCCCTGAAGTATGCATTGTTGTCATTATGGTGACCACTCCGTCAAAAATGTTGTCAGCCAGGAAGGTGACAATGAGAAATATCAGGATCTTTCTGGATCCTTGATACATGGCATGCAACCGAGTGATGATGATGACTTGCAGCATGTTTCAGTCAAGTCAATATCACTGAGGTATCGCAAGTGCAAAGCTCACCCCACAACATCGCAAATACCACAACACCAATCCAATCCCATACGACGTAGATAATCCAGCCTGACGAATCCGGTCAGCGACCAGCCTCGGATAGCACACACTCCAAACTAGTGCTGCCGTGGTCCGGTTCGGTCCGGTTCAGAGGGTCCTTGACGAGAACCAAGAACCGAACCATGGTTCGGTTCTTTAAAATTGTCGAACCCAGAACCAGACCATTGAGAACGGTTCTCAATGGTCCGGTCCGGTTCTTGTCTGGTCCGAACGCGAACCGAATAAAAAAATTTTCAAGCAATGGAAAAAACATTCACAAGACATCTACATGACATTGGGTAGCTAGTCTAACTGCATACCAACTGCATACCCTTCTGCCTCTACTGCTGCTGACACATGTCCATTCTTATAGGCTGCCTTCATCAATTGTAGCGCGGAGAAAGTGGATGATGCGAGTGCGTTGCGGCGCAGAGTTGATGTGATGCCCGCGCTGGAGAAAGCACGTTCAGAGGGAACAGAACTGCCTTGAATGGGCAGGTAATCACGCGCAACACGAGCTAGTGTTGGGTACTGCAGCGAATGTAACTAATCAAGAATGTAAGCGGGGAACAATGAATTTGAGGGCTGACTTACACCCCACCATGCCACAACATCATCAGTCTCCTCCAATGGTGAAGTAAGGTATGCAGAGAGCTCTTGATGAGGATCACACGTGCGATGGTCTGTAGCTTGACGTTCCATGATAGCGTCGCGCATCCAGGAAGCACCATAACGAATCGAAGCTTTCATTGTTGATGACGTGGCCTCTGGCTCCTTGGGATGTGGTCCTGGGGCTGGAGGCGCTTGATAATATTTGTCAAACTAAGAATACATCTGGAGTTAGAGACCGGTAGGGTACTTGAGTTTGAATAGTACTCACCACTGCCTCAAAACGAGCCCTCCCATTTGCGACCTTTGTCACAGTCCATCGCTGTTCGACGTATGCTAACTTATAGTTAGGGTCAAGAACTGTAACAAAATGAGACATGGACTTAAGCAAAAAAAAAAGATACTCACCTAGACAGATAAAGTAGACGTCTGAGTCACTAGCTTTCTGGTAGTACTTCTCGACGTTCTTGAGACCCTTCGTAATGGCGTCCGCGATGATTGCATATTCTGGATTTCCGGCCATTGCCCCCCACGTGCTAGCGAGACACTCTAGCGTGGGTATGGTCTGCCAGGCTGTTGGGTACGCGACCGAAGAGAATGATTGCTGTGCAGTCGCAGGTTCCTATAACAATAAGTAAATAAAATAAAAATGAATATACAAATAAATACCTTGAGGACATCATGCACTAGCCGTAGCTTTCTCCAGTCGGCTCGATAAAGCTTGAAGTCGCTATATGCCTTGTTGCGCAACTTTGGGACTTCGTGGCTTTCGTCGGCAAGCAGAGTAAAGCGGTTGACAGCCTGAAAGATGTTAGATACTAAACCAGTGATTGTATGTCTGACTTACCAGGCGAAGGGACAAGAAGCGCTCGAGGCACTTGAATAAGGACGCCCAGCACGTTCTCACCCATGACAAAATCTCACGAACAGCAACACCTTCTTCCTCACATGATTTTTTGAAAAATGCTTGAGCTTGTGGTGATTTGCGGATCTAATTATTGATTGCGTCAATGAGAACTCGAAGACAAAAAAAGAGGACTTTACCTGTTCAATGAGTGCCAGTGCTTTTCCAACAGCATCGCCGACATTGAAACTGTCCTCCACAATAGCATCAGGGTCGTGTTCTAATGCCGCAAGTTGTGCAGTTAAGCTAGTGATGTCAGTTTCCTCATCATGATCAATAGCATGATGAATCTTGCGTAGTAATGTGGCCTGTGGGGTGGGTGCGACTCCATCAACAAAATGTCGCGCCGCAAGATTCAAGATGTGCTCTTGACAGCGGATGCGGCGGGGACCTGGAAGCCAGTGGGTCCCATCCTCGTCTATGGCCTTTGCAACTTCATTCATAGCGGTATCATTATTTGAGGCATTGTCCGACGTCATCCATCCAACCTATGCAATCGAAGTCAATCCACAGCTGAAGCCAGACTCTGGAAAACATACCTTGTTGCGAATATTATACCTGTCTATTGTCCTAACGAGTATATTGCTGATATTGAGGCCGCTGTGGTTGCCTTCGATCTGCATGAAATCAAGTTGCTCATTTCTCAGCTCCCACTGCAGCGGTTTGCCGTCAGGGCTCCAAATATAATGACCAGTGACCAAAAAAAATGGTTCACCGATTATCGATGTCCATGAGTCGAATGTCATGGACACCGCACTGTCAATATGCTAATGAAATATTTTAAGACTGATGCCATAATATAAGTAGGTCAAGACTCACCGCTAGATGCTCCTTGATGTTTTCAACCACGGTCATTGCTCGAGACTTGATAGTTTCCGTTAACTTGGTGCAATGCGGAATGTCCTTTTCAGTCAGGGTGGGACGCGCATACTGTAATAAACGCTGAAACACTGGCTTGTCAATTAATTGTATTGCCTGGTGTGATGTAAATAAATTGATGCAAATATATATATAAACGTACGTCGTCTTCCGTCACGATAAGTTCCATGATATATTCAAGGAACCCTTCCTTGGTGAACGCAGGTGGTTTGCAAACAAGCTTGCCGTCGAGAGTTGTTTGCGATTGTGTCATGATGTTGTCTTCTCCAGGTGGGATCGCACGAGAGTGCATTGTGATGCCTGCGGCCTCACAACACTCCTTGTAGACTTAAAAATGCGACTTCTTGTGGCGGACAATATGTGTGCGAAGTGTCGAAGTACCTCCACGAAAGGTGTGCTTCTGCACTGGTTCACCAGCGGACCTTGTTTGAAAGTTATTAAACGATATATCAAAAACAATATGGACCACTTACTTGCATAGTGTACACACCCACCCATCAGGTAAACGGGTAAATATAGTCCTAACGTCCGCTGTGCATTCGCTTTTTGAAAGCTAAATACAGGTGTTAGTCGAGACTCAAGGAAGACAATAAACGAGTACATACAGTCGAAGCGGTGCACCTGTTCTCGGATTTAGATTCATCAACTTCATTGTCGTCCTCTGGTTGGGGGATCAGCTCGTCAGCAGACGACTCTCCCAGATCAGGTGTAGAGGGTATGTCTTCATCTTCGGAGTCAAGAGGGGATAAGATTCGCATGGCAGTTTTCTTGGGGGCTGGATGATCCGTAGCACTAGATAAAGCACGTTTCCTTCGGTTAGTTGACGAAGACAGACCGCAGGCATTGTCAGCATCGCGAATACGAGCCGATGGTTTTGAGGGCCGGCCAGAGTGCCTAGATCCAGCTGCAACTGTTGCTGGGGTGCATCCAGCCTTGAGCAGAACGGAGAAGGCGTCCTTTGTGGATGTAGTGGAAGAGGATGGCTGGGCAGAAGATGCGACCTGGGGCAATGGTACTTTATCGTCAGGATCATTAAAAAAGGTAATTTCAGAAGCATCCTTGAGGGTGCCGTCAGCGTTCAGAGCACAGCAGTCTTCAGACATCGTCAGGCAAATAACTCACAGTTTTTTGGTCGGCACCCCGTTTTATGCATGGCACATAGCCTAACACCACAGAGCAACAATATCCAAGGAGATCTGTTAGAGTTGAGAACCGGTGGAGGATCATGACTATCCAGGAAGCATATAGACTAGAACAAGTAGATATCTGTGATATAGGTAAACATATGTCAGAGTCTTGAGAATAAATTGATTAGTACTTACCTTCAAAAAGGCTAACAGTAGCCTGATTAACAAATAATGCAAATCTCGAAGACGGTGTTTTGATGTCGACATGGACACCGATGTTGTCGTGGTTGGTGTCGAAGTCGAGGGAATTTGAAGGTCAAGGAACGGTTCAGGAAGGTTCGGGAAAGTCGAACCAGAACCGGACCACTAGTGAAGGTCCAGAACCCAGAACCGCTTTCCGGTCCGGTTCTGGCTGGTGAGGGAACCATGGACCGAACCACAGAGAACCGGACCAAAAGTCCGGTTCGAACCGTGGTTCTGGACCGGACCGCGGCAGCACTACTCCAAACAGACTCACATCTGTGGTAATATAGCATGACAGTCATTAGTAAACCAAGAAGTTAGTCAAGAACCACACCCACTGCTACAGGGCACCACGGTTAATTGGAGGAGAATATTAATAGGCATCTGTGTAGAAGACTCACTGTATCTCTCAGCGGGATGGTCGGAGCACTGGCTGAATGCTGTTGGTCAGAAGAAGCAAAGGCAGCGAACGTACTAAGGGGACATACACAGAATGGTCAAGCTGGTTATGAGAGACAGACGATTAGTACAACACCGATTGTGTAGCCTTCCGAACATATGCAGCATATAAGATTCCAAGGTAACGCGCCTAGGGAACTTTCATGTCAGCACAACATGGCAACCGCGACAAACAAGCTACATACACTGAGATACATAACTGTCATTAGGGACCATCGTTGTCTCTGGAATCAAGTGTATTTTCATGCGTGTTCCTCTGACACCACATCAGGAAAAAACAAATTTTGTGGGAGCCCTGGTGAGAGCTATGTAGCACTACATAGCTACCATAGTTCTATGTACCTAATGTAGCCGTGACTCAGACTATATAGATCTACAGCGGGCTACAGCAGACTACAGCAGACTACAGCGGACACTTGGAGGCACAATAGTCAAATTGAAGTCTGTAGTCAATAGTAGCTGAGTAGCAACAAAACTAATCAATAGTGGACATGCAGAATGTATCAAGGTCAATAAAGCTATTTAAGTAAAAATCACTTGTGGACTCATAGACATTTGCGCTAGTCCATCCACGGTCAACAGTTTGTCCCATCCTTGGAATAAGATGGCAAGGACGAGCGATTTCATCGATGTGTATCACCGCTGCATTCCGGTGCAGCCGACGAGTCGAACACGACAATTGGTGCAGGCCAGATGAGCGGTCTGGCTCCCTGAGTGGTGTGAACCACTCAATGTAAGCTAAGGCTCGCGAGTAGGTCCCAAATTGACGCGGCAGAGTGAAAATAACGCGAACCTGTCCCACTCGCATACCTAGTAAAATATTAACATGAATTTTTTGACGGCTCAACAAATAGTTAGTACTCACCTTCTAAAGTGCATGGCTGAATGCCATTGCTTGTCAGGGCCATATCAAACTTAGCGGGAGATCCAGGCTTGCGTCCACGTCCAGGAAGCACTTCAGGCGTGGCTCTAACACGCCACTGCCCCGGTGATTCACTGATGAGTGGATTAGGCGGAGCAGTGATTACTACCTGTCGAAAAACATCGAAACGGTCTTGCAGACCAGGGGCAATGATAGCGTGCGGCATGTGGTTGCGCAGAAACAACTTAAGGGCTGGGAGGAACATGGATGCACCATGTGCAGTGACGAGGTGCTGAACCAAACGCTGAGGGTATGCAGGCGTCTTAGCGAGAGAGTGGACCGTTCATTGCTCAGGGAGGATGGGAAGTGTATTGACAGGGACAGTGTTTGGCCCTTCCATCTCTGAGTCCGAGTCCGAGTCATATCCGTGGTCATGAGTGAAATTGGTTGGTGCCGACTGAGACTGTTCCAACAGCCAGTTGAGGTAGGAACCACGCAGGAAGACTGCCTCCTGGCGCTGGAGCCATAAGGCCATCTGTTCTTCATAATCGCACTTGTTACTGGCGCGATACGCTTCTTTGGCGAAGTCGATGTGCAAACGTTCTGGAAGTTCACTGTTAAAGCCGTCTGTAGCACCAAACAATAGGATAGACTGAACGTAGTGAGAGAGCTGATGTAATTTGGGAATATTAAAATGGTTGCGAATATTGAGTTGCTGCAAGACGTCCTTGTTGGCGTGAAATATCGCCAGAGTGCTTTCCAGGCCATTGAGGGATTCAGTTGAGTGAACTCGAAGCTGAGCATAGTATGAAAAATCTAGAAGTGCTTGCGCAACTACTAACACTTGGCTGTAAGCAAACGAAAACAATCACGTCAGCACCAACCTCGTGCTTAGCAACAATTGAAGCTTACCTAGGGACAGCGCCAGCAAGTAGCCCAACAAATACACGCTGCATCTCTTTGTGTTCTGTCCCCGTCCACTGCTTTACCATAGATATTCCCTTCTTGAAATGCCGCAGACCGGGATAATCAGGCATCGCTTTGAACCGTGCGTCCATTTCTTCTTCGCCAACAATATCAAGGCACCACTTAACTAAATGGTCCTTGAAGATGCCTTTGTGGAGTTGGTGTAGGAGGTCGGGTGTAAAGGCCATGTTAGAGTGGGGGAGATTAGCCCAAAATGGAGCATAGACGGTGCGTAGTCCAAATTCCTCAAATTCAGCAGGATGGTGACCAGTCTTTCGCTTCTCTAATATCCCCTTTATGACTGCAGGATCCCGCATCGGCGAATCCAGTGGATCGCCTCTTTCATCCGCCGCAACTACACATTTTGGACAGCGGTTTTCCTTGCAACACGCCACCAGACACTGCTCTGGAAAGTCCACTACATACGCGGCAAGGATCGGATACACTCGACGGATCAACGCATCAGCACACACCATTTCAACGCCGTCTTCACCTGCAGCAAGGGGTTGAAGGAGGAGGGACATGCAATGATGGAATAGTCGGTAGTTGGCGAGGGAGCATTCATCAGGTGTAAAGCAGTCAAGCTTTCCTAAAGGTAGGTAACCAATCAGGACTGTCGCTCATGCTGATGTTTGCCGCCGTTTTTCTTTAGCAATGTTTCCAATAGAGAGGTACACAGGATATGCCGTTTTGTCGCCTCGGAATTGCGACAGACTCGTTTTGTCTGTTGCAAGAATAATTGGCGCGATGGTTGCTCCTTCCGGCACCTTTTTCTGGACAACACAGGTCAGTGCTTGTCATTTTCGATGTTTTTTTTGATATGGTGCTTACTTGCATGTCACACCACCAATCTGCAGTCCACATGTCGTCTATCACCCGGTGGAGTCCTGCAGAGTCCGTGTATGCGCGAGCAGGTGTGTACACCATTTGATCCTTGAACAAAGGATTTCCGATCAAGTCCTTGATGCACTCTACAGGATTGCGCATCCACAGTTCAACATCTTCGTGCAATGGTTCGCCTTTTTCGTCCGTTCTATTTCCCTGAATGCTAATCTTCTTACGGCTCCAGGCGGCTCCATGCAGGAGTTCATCAACCTTCTTGAGGAATGATCGGTTGTTGTGGAATGAAGCTTGCATTCGGTTTCGGGTCTATCACGCTGATCAGTACATTTTTTTGGTGCTTGATGCCAAACTTACAATCGGTAACTTTAGAAATTCATCGGTTCGAGTCTGCCCAAGGCTTTTTACAAGCCACTCAGCGAGACCCCACTCTTCCCTGGCAGCTAAAGTCAGGCAGAGGCCATCAACATGAAAGGGTACGTACTCGTCACAAAATGGAGCCCACTCGTCCTCACCCATGCCTTCCTTGTACTTCCGGTATCATTCAAATTCAGTTTCCCCTTCCCGCAGTGCCCATCCACCATCAGAACATTGCTTGAAATAGCGCCCACCACCTCCCACTACCTCACCTTCATCCACTACCTCACCTTCATCAGCAACATCCTCGACCGTCACACGCCGACTTTTTGGTGCCGGCGGATTAAGTTCATCAGCCTCGAAAGAGTTGGACCGTGAGCGGCGAAGTGGGGAAAATGAGTTGCCAGCATCGTCGTTCTCCATAGAAGGTGCGTTGTCTTCCAAGTCTTTTTCTTCAATTGTTACCTCCCATGCTGTTCTGCATTTAGGCCGGTTGTTACGACACACAGTCGTGTGCGACTAGGATAATCTAACAGCGACAACCACGACAGTGGTACCGAGTGCTGAGAGTCGTCGGCCTTTACAAACAAGCAAAGGTTGCGTACTCGAACGTAGCTCGTGGTGGTTAACGAGGGGTTACGCTGAGATGATAGCAGGGTTTACAGACAGTGAGAGGCGTCACTGAAGGTACGAGTCGATGTCGAGCAGGTAGCTTTAGCGGGACAAGGAGTTCAAGGGTAAACCTAGTAAGATTAAAGTAAGGAACGTCTACTTTAATCTTCGACCTTATATAAGGCTACTCTTCGTATCTAAGCTCAGCCTAAAGCTGGGTTCTAATCTGCTTATCTACATGAGTCAGAGATAGCATCCATGAGGCAGGCTTCTATCGTAGATAGGATCCATGAGGTATCCTTCTGTCAGTACATGAGGCAGCACAAGGCTTGCCTTCTATCTTGATAACATAAATAGGTCTTCTGGACCTATGTCGTCATGTGTCGTCACGTGCGGTCCAGACCGCTTATCTAAGCCGGCAGTTGCCGCTTATCGTCTATCATCATCTATCGTCATCTATCGTCATAGAGCTGGTGAGACTCCGGTATCGTCTATAGCCGTGCGGTGGCAGAGGGCTGTCTGCTGGCAGGGGACTCATGCCATGTTACTGTAACACCGGTTAGCTATGTGTCTCTTGATGCCCCCCCTCGTAGGGAACTCCTTGCCACAAAATGTACAGCAGTGCGACATAGTATGTGAGTAGGTGAGTGTTTCGCCCTGGTCTTAGGTGACTTGTCTCATTGTAGTATGCCCTTTTTTTTTTCAATGGCCTGGTCTAGACTTAAACTGGGCGCAGTTACCGGGCGCTGCGCCACAACTAGATCCGAGCACCACACCACACCACACCACACAACCCTTAATGAGTTGGAAAGTACGGCAAGTCTTGGCTGGTTTTGTTGATTGGGAGGACGATCCATGAGGTGCGTGGCTGGGTTTGTTGATTGGGAGGGGTGTGCTTATCCTGATCTTGCAACCAGACGTGCCCTCACAAAGTGCAAGAGGGACTTATCCCAGTTCTGCCACCAGACGCACCCTCACAAACCTACGGATTACAGCCTTGTTTAGACTCAATCGGTATGCCAAAGTTACGGCCTCATTTAGACTCAATCCATGCGCCAAGTCGCAACCAGGTACGGGTTTTTTTTTTGAGGATGATCCATGAGGTGTGCTTACCCTGGTCATTCCGTCTACAGTAAGATAGGCAAAGATCCTGCCTGCCATTCTGCTTACCCTGCCATTCCGTCTACAGTAAGATAGGTACGTGCTCTTATTCTGACCGGTTTGAATGATACTTACATCTTGCCTAGTTCCCAACACAATTCCGTCTACAGTAAGATAGGCAAAGATCCTGCCTGCCATTCTGCTTACCCTGCCATTCCGTCTACAGTAAGATAGGCAAAGATCCTGCCCGCCATTCCGTCTACAGTAAGATAGGCAAAGATCCTGCCATTCCATCTACAGTAAGATAGGCAGAGATCCTGGTCATTCCATCTACAGTAAGATAGGTACGTGCTCTTATTCTGATCAGTTTGAATGATACTTACATCTTGCCTAGTTCCCAACACACAACCTCCATTACAATCTTCCTCGTCTAGCGAGAGAACAAGATCGAGAGAGCCAATGACCAATTCTAGTATGTTAATTCTTGTCTCTGATACTAGCTAATTTGATGTGCTACGTTAGTTTGGAAATACCATGGGTGGCCAGAAGTACCTCTAAAAGCTGCGCCCGTTTGGCTTCCTCGCACCGTTTCACCTCCACATCCCAGCGCTCAATGACGAGCCTTCGTATGCTCGCTTGTAAGATACTAATAGCTGGGCCTGGTGCTATTTCTAACAGTTGCAGTTTTTTTGCTTGCTCGCAGGCCTTCACTTCTGCCTCCCAACGCTCCAGAATTAGGTTTCGTATGTAATTCTGGGAAGCTGTGACAGGGCCAGGTGTTTGACGAAATGGAGGGCGCAGGAACATGGGCTCTGCATCAGGCCTTTCGAGCTTGGGTCTGCAAGCCGGTGAGTATTTGAGTGTAACGTGGAACGGCAACTAACCTTTTGACGTCAATTTTCGTGTCTTCACAGCCAGCCTCTTTGCGACCAGCAATTTGTGACATCGGGCTGCAAGATTCGTCAGAGCACAGTGAGTTTTGAAGCAAGCTCCATACCGTTTTTTTGACGAGTCGGGGGTATTCATAACAGTGAAAATAAATTGTGACGGTATGATCATACCTTTTTATCATCCCTCTTGTTTGACACAGCTTTCAGCCCTTCATTCTTCAAATCAACAATCAACGAACTATTAAGGTTCAATTGTGAGTTATTTGTCTGTTTCGCAGTGGTATAAATTGTGCTGACCTGCTGTGTACTTTGACTAGACAACCATGGCACCTCGTAAGCCTACCTCCAAGCCAAAGCGCGCCCCCTCACCACCTGCCGCAAAACAGCAGGTGCGCACTGCAAGTGGTCGAGAGCGGCGACCAACTGAAAAAGAGAACTACCATCGTAAGTACCAGCACATTATGTTCTGCTCACTCACCATCTCGTTCTACAGTCAGCGAATCCCAACATGTTGTCCATCGCCAAGAAATCAAGGAAACCCGGACGGCAAAACAGAAGAAGAAGGCCTTAAAGGCTGCCTACCAAGGGCATCCTGACGTCTTCGAGAAAGAGCTGTCAGAGCTCCTTAGCAACATGGACAGGCAAGAAGACACAATGGTACGAGCTTTTGTTTTCTTTCCTCATCTTAAATCAGCCGCTGACATTTATTTTTTTCAGTTCTCTGACCACAGTGTCGATACAGGGTTGTCCAACACTAATAGCCTGACATTCAGTACAGGGAAAATCCCTCCAAGGTTGCGCAACTCATCCATACCTACAACCAAAGGACCAAAAGGTATGTTTTTACTTTATATAATTACACTACTAACCCTCCATCAAACAGCACCACATAATGTTGACGAGTCAACAGACGACAACGACAACGACGCTGCCGACGATGCTGACGATGACGACAACGAACAGTTGCCTGCAGCTCGAGGGACCAAGCGATCATTCGATGACATGTCATATGAAGATACCGTGGTGCCGAAGGTCAAGAAAAATGCTGACGGTTCGCGTCGACGCGTGAAAGCCAGCGACTTTGACAAAATCTCAAAAGAGATTCTCATAACTGCTTGCTCCGTTTATCGGTGTCTCATTGTCACACAGGCACCTTTTCCGGATTCCGTTGCAGCTGAGACAAAACTGGCGAAAGAGGCCTGGTGCGAGGCATGTCAACTCAAAGGTGTTGACGTCAAACTGACCCCTTTGGCGGTGAATATGGTGAGCACAGTATTTTTAGTGCATTCCTGGTCTTATTCGTTCAAAGCTGTTGAAACGCGCTTCACACGTGCGAGGCGAACTCAAGACGAAGATGCGTCCGCTCACGGCTTCATTTCACAGCTTCCGCTCAAGTAATTCTATGGAGGTGATAAGGTCAAACCGAGATCTCGCAGAGAGATTGAAAATTGGCTTGATCTTTGTTTTCAAGGTGAGTATTCGACGGTCTACATAACTTAGTGCTGACATTGAGCAATAGGACCCGTCATCCAAGTCAGGCATCTACAAGACCGAGTTGCTTCAACAGGGTATCAACAGCATGTGGTTCTTGAACCGAAGTGACGAGGGTGTCATCTACCACAAATACTTTGACCCCATCCCTATCAAAACTATTGTGCTCGTGCTTACGGCTGTGAGCCGTTTTTCACATTCTTACTTTCAACTTGATGACGCTGACAATATCTTATAGATAGAATGTTGTGTTGATGAGTGGTCGCAAGGCATCAAAGAGGACATCAAGTTCACATCTGCTGGTTATGGGGCCGTCTACAACCATCATTTCAGCTCACTGCAACGCTTTGATGAGCGCACTGCACCTTACAAACTCCTTTCAAAAATTTGTATCAATCTGCATGATACAGCGCGGTATGTTGAACTCTTATCTCACTGACTCTTCTAATGCTCGCGCTTCTCAGCTTCCACGCAGGTGTCGCATCACTCATTCCATTGTCAGCTACATCCCAGGCCCACATCGACGACGCGGCGTTTGAAGACGCTATTTGAGAGTACCAGCGTGAGGGGAAGGATGCGGCAGTCGAGGATGAGGTCGAGGAGTATGAGTATCCTAGTAGCGAGGGTGGGGATGATGAATAGGGACGCAGTGAGTAAGACGTTCGTATTATGCTAGTTTGTGTTTCAGGTGGTTGAATTTAATTGTGACTACGAGGTTCTTTGGTGTGCTATATAGCTGCTGGTAGTAATTTATAGCTGCGTGCAGTAGCACTCCGACAAACTATGGTAGTACCTTGTAGCTACTGGTAGTTACTATGGGACTCTATGGTGTCTACATAGAGGGCACTTGACAACAGGGCTACTCGCGCTACCCTGACTATATAGCACTATGTAGTCACTATGTTTTTTCCTGATGCAGACTCTACTCACCCAGATCAATTCCACCTATAAAGCCATTCTCAGCAAGATGGCAGCTCCGGTCATACCATCGACATACCTCTTGTCCAAATGTGAGTGCTGAAAATAATCGTAAGACGTCAGCTGGCTTTTAATGTTATCAGGCTCACACCAATCATACATCACTGCAGCAAAGGCGGCGACTGCAAAACCACAACCAAGGTTAGATTGTATCAGCTTCAACATCTGACTGCTCTCCACGAACCTGAAAAATAGCTGTTCAAACAATATGAATTGATGACCGGCCACCAACTGGGATCATTTGAGACTACAGTCATATTGGTAGAGAATGGGTGTGGATGAGAGGCAAACTTGGTAGATGTATGTCAATAACATTCGCAGTATCATATATATGTATACCGCTATCCAGTGCGAAATGAGATCAAGGGGTGAAATCTGTGCAATCCACGTGGATCAAGCAGTTGCATGATGGTCATCGGGCTGTTGTATCATAAGGATGCTAATCAACATAGTACCAGCACAGAACCTTCAATTTGCAACGTGGATGTGAAAGTCGACGAGTGGTAACGTTCACTTGTCGGGTGGAGTTCTCGTACTCCTTATATATAGAAAATTGATTCCAGCTTGGAACTTTGGAGATTAGGATATGCTTAGAGCGTTAACTCTTCGCAAGCAGATGTATATGAGATTCGGAGGCACAACAACTTGTTAACATATATGTGGAGACAACCTGAAGAAAGGCAAACACACCCATTACACGTGTACCAGCGAAGAACGTTAAGTCAGTAGTAGTGAGACGGTCACGGTATCGCTTATAAGTAGTTAATGATACGGAACGTGGAATTAGTCATATCACTCAAAATCAATATTATGATATTTCGAGTTCCTGTTTCTCCCTTCGGGTCTTCCCGTGTCTCGTTGTCTTGGACCTTGCCCTTGCCCCTGCGGCTCTTGCCCCGTGCAATTCGGCATGACGATCATGCCGTTCGCAATCTTCATTGCCGCCTCCTTTAGTGGAGATAGCAGTCTATGTCTAGCGAGACGAATTCGAAATGGCTCTCTGCCTTTTCTCACTCGAGTTTCTCGTCTCGCTACTAGGTACACTGTTGTTATCCATTCGGTTGGTATATTCTCATTTGTCTCCGGAATCCATGGGTCCCTGTGTGCTCGCGACGGGGTCCCTTATTTGCTGGCTAAATCCTTGCCGTCTGTGTCCTATCGAGACAAGCGAGGACAATTAGAATGAAGCTCAAGTCGTCATCCATAAGTACTAGTGGGAAAGAACATACCTTTAATGTGTCACGGCTTTGGTTCGTGTTTTGTCTTACTCTTTTTAACTTCTTCTGCATACTCATCCTCTGGGTAATCCACGACACCCATTATAATCACTGCAAGCATCCGAGCCCACCGATTAAAACATGGTCAATGTTACAGATGCTGACCGGATTGTCATTGATAGCGAGGACGAAGACGCCTTACGACCGCTTCAAATTGCTGACCGAAGCGGCCTCACCCCGTTTTCTACAGGCCCGGAAAAGATACTACAGTGTCAGGCATTCACTGTGACATTACCTTCTTCGAGTAATGCCCTCAAATCTCCAAGAGTGTTACCACGACCTATAACATTCTCGTACGCACGTTCCAAATTTGCAATCCTAAATCAATCTAACGTTGATGTCATCTTAGCCGCATACTAGCTACATTGAAAGATTCGCCTCGCCTGGCTCGACCTTGCTATAATGCATGTCCGTTCCTGGGTCTCTTGTCACCGTTTTGAACCACATCAACAAGCTGTTTCATGTTTCATATGCGATTCCCAGACGTTGGCACCCTGGATTCCTTCAAACTCCTCTCACTCCACGGATGCGCTGGGTCTCAGCTAAAGAATCGTAGCCTTCATATCACAAATGTGCAACACGGTACTTGTATCCCCAAGTAGTGTTCAGCAACAATCCTAAACACATCTGTATCCGTATCCGTATTTCCATCCCATCCAACAAAAGCGAAAGGCAAAGCTCCTCCGCAAGCATTAACTAATTTCAGCCTCAAGACTCGCCAAGTGTGCCTTGCATCATTAAGCTGCGCATGCACCAACATGCTTCGCACACCTTATAATCACCTTGAATGGATCATCATCTGTAAATCAGTTGGCGTGAGTTGAGCGAGAAAACAATGGTGGGACATTGAATGGGGCGAGAAGATGAATTGCGGCTCGATTACTGAGGAACTGAAGCAGTGCGCTGTCGCTCGACTGTCCTCTCGTGCGCTGCCTAAGCAATCATATGTATGAACGATTGTCATCACACGGAAGGTTGGTGCAAGTGTGCGTGGGCAGCTAGTGCTGGTAGAGATCTTCATCGATTTAAAAATTACTAGCTATAGGAAATCACTTGACTAAATAATATGACGAAAACTTTGTATGTCTCCTTGAAATCTACTTCGGAACACCAGATAACTTGGATCAATACCTTCAAGAAAGTAGGAATAAATAGAAACGAAATCCCCTGCTCCTTGCAGAACATTAGACAACTGTTAACGTTAACTTCACCTCAAACACCACTGCCAGTCGATATATACACACGTTCCTGGAAAACGATTGAGGTCATACCAGTTGCTGCGTCAGAATGGGCCACAAGCTTAGCGTGGTATTCCCGAACACCAAGGATCAGGCGCGGTCCCAGCACAGACATCTGCACGACCTCCAAAATCTGAAGGAGCCCAGAAATAATATTAGCGTCCAGGAATTTGTCCTATAAAAATGATAAATTGTGGTAGCATGCATAGGCGAGGGAAAGATTGACATACTATTAATAATTTTGGAGAGAAAACAAGAACGAGATGGAAGCAAGAAACAGCAACAAAACTACCATACCCGACCCTTCAGTGGTAAAAGGAACAATAACCACAATATGAACTTACCTCGCAAAGTAAACCACGTGAGTTTTCATCAACACCTCGATAATCCCTCCTGCCGAATGTCGTCGCAGGTCACGGAGGTGTTTTACCGCAATCCAGACTGCGAGACATAGTGCGAGGACCTCCCACACAGTAACGAGTATCCAAGTAATGGAAGCCAGAAGTGGGATATCATGCGCATAGTCAAACTGACACTGATAAGTGCCGGAGAGAATGAGTTCCTCTGGTATTCATCATCGAGCCCCATGCACGTTTGTTTTCATCCACAAATAAGCGTACCCGCTGAAACATGTAGGGTTATCATCAAGGTGACCACTCCGGTGAAAATGTTCACAGCCAGGACGGTGACAATGAGAAATATCAGTATCCTTCTGGATCCTTGATACATAGCATGCAACCGAGTGATTATGATGACTTGCAGCATGTTTCAGTCAAGTCAATATCACTGAGGTCTCGGAAGTGCAAAGCTCACCCCACAGCATCGCGAATACCACAACAACCATCCAATCCCATACGACGAACACAATAAAGCCTGACGAATCCAGTCAGTGACCAGCCTGGGGTAGTACACATTCCAAACAGACTCACATCTGTGGAAGTAGTCATTCGTGAACCAGAATATCAGCAAAGAGCCGCACTCACTGCTACAGGGCATCACGGTTAGTTGGATTCGGGGATAGTAGGCATCTGTGCAGAAGACTCACTGTATCTGTCAACGAGATGGTCGAAACAGTTTCTGTACCCTGATGGTCAAAAGAAGCAAAGACAGTGAATGTACTAAGGAGACATACGCAGTATGTACAGGCTGATTATGAGAAATAGACGATTAGCACAACACCGATTGTGTAGCCTTCCGAACATACCCAGCAGATAAGATTCCAATATAGCGCGCCTAGGATACTTTCAAGTCAGCACAACATGGCAACCACGACAAACAAGAGATACACAACTGTCATTAGGGACCATCGTTGTCTCTGGAATCAAGTGTATGTTCATGTGTGTTCCTCTGACACCAGACTCTACTCACCCAGATCAGTTCCACCTATAAAGCCATTCCCAGCGAGATGGCTGCTCCGGTTATAGCATCGACATACCTCTTGTCCAAATGTAAGTGCTGAAGATACTTGTGAGATATCAACAGTTTTTTAATGTTATCATGCTCACCCCAATCATACGTCACTCCGACGAACGCGGCAACTGCGAAAACACAGCCAGGGTTAAATATTGTGTCAGCTTCAATATCCAACTGCTCTCCACGAATCTGCAAAATAGCTGGCCAAGCGATGTGCATTGATGATCGGCCACTAAGTGAGACCATTTAAGACTACGATCATATTGGTAGAGAATTGGGTTTGGATGAGAGGCGAACTTGGTGGACGTGTGATGATGGCATTCGTGCCAGTTATACCACCATCCAGTGCGTAGATCAGCGAAACGATATCGGGGGATGATGGCTGTTCCTGCTTTGATTGGCCAAAGTAGATATTTTTGCATGAAGAAAGGTAAATCAATCTACGAAATCATAGATGTTGGTCGTGAAACATTTGGACGAGCGAAACACTTGACACCGCAACAGATCGAACAACATCAAGAGCTGTTCGTGATCTTGTTTACCATGCCATTCTCGAGATGTTTTTGCTACACAAGCATCGATCCATCAATGCAACCAAGCTGTTCGCACATGCTGATCGTGGTGCGACCATCGAAAAGCCTGTCATCGCCTCGCTAGCACAGGCCCGGGGAGCACATTGCGTCAGCATGACGCCAGACCAGAAAAGACAGCCGTCAAAAATAGCGGAGATTGATACATTGCAAACAAATTCGCATCTTACCCTGCGAGCACATTTCATTGTCTCATCTCGTCCTTAGGTCATCTGTCGCTTCATGCGCAGCCTCTCGCTCTCTGCCTCGGAAACTGGGCTATCGTATCATCTGGATGCTCAGGTGCACACATATGGATTCCATCGGTCTTGGTGCGTGCCAGCGTCTTTTCCCCATTGTTCATTCCCTGCAGCACCTGCGGCCAACGAGAGTTCGAACATTCGCTATTCAAGTATACCAAGGCACTCTAGATCAACGTCGACGTCCATCGCAGACAGATCATAGTCGAGAGTGACAAGTCATTGTAAAGTGAGTGGTCTAGAATCTATACAGTCTGAATGTCATTGTCTTGTACTATATTACCAGGACTCACTGCTGCCGCGCCCACTACCGCATCCGTGCCGCAACACGCCCAACACGTCCTCTAAATTCAGCCTCTCAAAGGCATGTCCGAGAGGGGCATAGTTGATGAGTTCGATGAGTAATACTGCTAGGTCAATTGTCTTGTGTATGATTAGAGTAGTTGTCGGAAATGTTAATGAGCGTTGAATTCTGTATGTGTGGTGCGGCAAGTTGCGGCAGTGATGCCGCTGATGCGGCAAAATATCTGAGCCCCCTCAGACTGTTACTTCCGCTACAACTTTCCATGGCATCCATCATCCCGGTGATTTTCATACTCGCCGTAGTCCTAGGACTGATTGCGTGTGGCTACCTCTTCGTCCCAAAGGGCCCACATCAAACGTATGCTTTCTTTATTTTGTCACAATCCGAACCAATACCCTCGAATGCAGGACAATTCGTACGGCCATCATGCTCACGTTCGCATCATGTTATCTTATGTGGATGGTCACGTATATGGCCCAGCTACATCCTCTCATCAGTAAGTCATGAAACTCGCTGATACGGTTTTATTGGCTAATGCAGCGGCATGAACTTAAGCGCCATATCGTTCAATAAAGAGCGGAGAGAGTTTATGATGGTCAAGCGCCGTCTGAGCAGGAAATAGACGTACACCACTGTCGCTATGACAGATTCTGCGTTAACTAAAGAGCACCTTGGAGTCCGCTGTTCCACATCAGTGAGTGCCCCACCGCATGTAAGGTGGTCTTGCGTTTGAAGATATATAGATATGTCTCGGGATATGTATCGCATCTGTCCATAGAGCCTTTCTGGCCGTGTCTCAGGTTACTATATCTGTGGTCTTTTCATAATTCAAAGAACCTGAGCTTCTTTCTCGGCCATGCGACTGTAAAGGCGTGTGCAGATCGTTGATCTCAGCATGTATCTGGTTGTCAAAATTTGTGTTTCTAATACAGTGTCTTGCATTGCGCGTCATCAGAGTTCTGTTACCTTTCCATATTTCGCGCACTATAGGGCCCGATTCGACACATCACTTTACTGAGAGAAGTCAAACAAACAGAGTCCAACTGTAACTGATTCACGTGTACCAGGATGATCTGCAGAACGAATACCAGCGGTGTTCCGCGTTGCAACCGTTGCGTTGCATGCGTGTGACTGCTTTGCATTTTTAGTTGGTGGGTTTCTCATTGTTTCTCAACTCATTCAGTTTAACGAGTATAGGCCCACTATTAGTAGCATGTTGTCATTTGGGCGATCGATCATGCAGATCATGGCTCTACGGTCTACCCGATGTCGTGGGAAACTACCTACTCTCGTTTAATGCAGGAACCAATGTCCTCAGAATCATATGTATTTCCTGACTCCTGGGGCTTGGCGTACTGATGCAATCTGCCATAAAAACCCTGTCGTTTATCACACTGATGGCCCTACGTCCACCTCGTTCGCCTTACGCGTATCCTTGAATAATATGACCCTGATCTCAAACGATCCTACTTGGTGGCCGACGATCCATTCAAATCGTGTAGCCAGCTATTTTATAGGTGGGTGGAGATCATCTCAAATGATATTTCGATCTCACCTTGGCTGCGGTGTGTAGTTGCCGGTTCTGTTGGAGTGATATACGATTTGGGTGAGTAATATTGTCTTCAACAACCGCTGACATCTTTATGATATTTCTAGTGCTGACGTTTGGACAAGAGGTGGGTCGATGCCATTATTGGCAGTCATCTCGCTCAGAAAGGCATTACAGGTCGAACTGGTTTGGGTGAGCAGGGTCTCCACTCAGGATAACAGGATAGAAATTCATTTGATTTGCGACAGATGCAACCCTGGTCGCTGATGTCCATTCTGTATCTCAGTGTGTGTAGATTACGTTATGGTTCCGCAAGTTGTGCTGACCTGAAGATATCTTACATAGGTGCGATACCTTGGAATAGTATATGCTATGTGTGTTTGGATGGTCAACTATTTGGTGTTGTGCTAATCGGTCATTTCTCGCAATCAGCATCCAGATTCTTGGTATGTCACATAATTCACCGTGTTTGATTCCTCTGACCAACAGAATACTACTTACAGACAGTGTTCCGACGATCTCGATCACAGATACAGTGAGTAGTCTGCGTCTATGTTTGCCATTCCCATCCTATCAACCACACTTCCATGTAGGGGTGAGTGAGATTCTTGACCAGCCCGTTCAATGTATTGACTGTCGCAGCTGTGAGTATTTCGAGTCTGAATCTTCGAGGCTGATCGCCAACTTGATTTACCAGGCCACATTATGTATAATGCAATTATTTGGATGACTCTGGCCGTAAATGTAATGCTGGGTGGTGAGCATCACCGTTGTGATATTCTAGTGGCATTGCTTGACTGAAACACCATTCAAGTCATTACTTTGACTCGGTTATATGCCATGTATCAGCGATCCAGAAAGATGCTGATATTTCTCGTGGTCACCCTCCTGGCTGTTAATATATCTAACGGAGTGTTACTCACAATTGGAATGAAGCGTGCCTCGGAGGGTAGGCTCTAGTGAAACACTTAAACGCCTCATGCTCATTGACGGTTACTTACCAGAGGAGCTTATTCTCTTCGGCACCTATCAGTGCACTGTTAGCTACCAGGGAGATGTCCAAATTTTAAAGTCCATGCCTTGGGTACTCACCACTGCATGGGAAATCCTTGCATTGTGTCTTGCAGGCTGGATTGCTGTACACCACTTCAGTGATCTTCAGCGACACTCAGCAGGAGGGATTATTGGCGATTTTGTCACAGTGCTAATGAAAACACACGTGGTTTATTTTTCGAGGTGAGCCCATAACGCGGATGTGGTTTCTTTTCCGCTGAAAATGCGCATGCACTAGCTTTGTTGTTGTTTCTTTCTTCTGGCTCGGTGAGGTTTCTCCGACGTTCACAACGGTATATCAATCTGTTACTGTCCTTGGCATACTACGATGACTCATCATTTCTATAGGACTTCTTTTCCCTGAAAACTGAGATCTATCGTGGGTTCCTTCAAATCATCTTGGTCGTGCAGTTGTTTGTGGTGGGACCGCGCCTGATCCTTAGCGTTCGACGTTATCGCGCTGAGCTCATGGCCTGCTCTAATACAGCAACGGACATGGTTTCAATTGCTCTCCAGGAGCGCGGGCATATGTCAACTACCAGTAGTGTATAGCACGAGAAACGTTCGAGGCGATTAACACATGTTGGGTTCCTCTGCACACTATGTATGCGAAAAATATCTAACACCCACATCCTCATGCATGTAGGGGGCAAACTCTGTTGTGCGTCCCCACGGATCAGTGGCGTTCATCTATAGGGCCGACACACAAGAATTGAGTACTACTTGGTATTCGGTGATTAATTTCACGTCATGAGGCATAGGCGGGTCAACACCTCAGGCAGGAGCTTAACCGTTTCCACAATATATATCATAGCGCCCATGCATCATCCATGAATCATGCACATGATTTGAGCACACCTCTAAGTAGCTAATCATGATGTACAGTACTTGATGGGATGTAACGGCGAGCAGCAATAACGATAACAACAGGCTCGTCACAGGACCACAGGAATACACTTTGGATGCTACAGACAAAACAACACAATGGTTTGAGGAAGATGAAAGTGCAACATAAAACACAAATAATATAAGTAAGAGTAAGGATAATGTACGTGGGACAACGGAAACAATCTGGATATGGACGTGCATGGAAAAGCAGTTCGACAAGAAAGCATAGCAGGTCGTGGCAAAGTTAGACAGTGTCATTATGCGCCGGGTATCAAACACAACATCGAGGAACTCAGACGAGCGCAGCAGATTGCAAGTATCCTCTGAAAATCGAGTCTCGTACTACATGATGGATAAGTTGCCGGAAGGCTGTGTGATTGTAATTCTAGAACGTACCGTTTCCTATGATGCTTTGGGTTGCCTTGGTATCCTGAGCACGCGCCAAGGTATGAGTCAGTGCTAGTGTTGATGAAATGAAAATAGAACGTACAACAACATTGGTCAAGTGCGTATACAGCACACGTCTGTTTTCGTTATTCCGTCTGTGGACTTGGAGAAAGTGGGCACGGAAGTACTGTACAACTGACTCGTACTCGTTTGGACGGTCGCCATACGAGAGAATGCTGAGGCCAGCTCCGTAAGCATGTTACAGACGAGAATCACGAGGACCTTACTATTTCGAGACAGATAACCCTCGTTCAAGCTTCTTTTTTAGGATATCAGTCTTGTCTGCGGTGGTAGCTTGTATTAAAATACTTTGTGGGACCACTAGCATGAGACAACCCACTCAAGAATAAGACTAGATGGACCTTCTTGAGGAGCTGATTGGAGCAGATCTGTGTAAAGAGCTGAAGTGAGTCGTCGATACGGTTGGTGCGAGGATCTTCCTCGAGGTACTGGGAAGAAGGTATGTAAAGACACCACAAATAGCAGGTGCTGAAGCTCTCACCTGATCAAAAGCACTGATTGGGCTGACAAAAATTATGGCGTTTGCGTCGTCGAAGTACGGCACCCATGAATGACGCTGTCCCCTGGCGCCACCAACGTCAAAGAGATGCCACGTCACAGTCTTGCCATGAATGTCAACGTCAAAAATATGCTCAGCAACGCCCATAGTTTGGATGCGTGCATGGAGAATATCATCTATGAAGAGGTGAGCATGGAGACATTGACTCGACAAAAATGCGCACCAGTAGACGGTACATAATTCCGTGCCGAGATACGTGAGATGTCATTCAAGAAACTGAGCAAAATTCCATTTTTAGAGAAGAGAAAGAAGCATATATGCGCACACTCACAACTCTGACCACTCATCTAGCTTTAATTTTCGACTTGTCATCAAGGCACGGACAACCTGGTTCTCCCACAAGGTCCTGATATCTTCCCTCGACTGTTCCAACATTCTTGCGACATCATCCACAAGAGGGTCAGCATCGATAACTGACAGAGCTGTTCCGGGACGCTCAATCGTCAGTTCGTCCTCGGGTGAACTGGGCTTTGGTTGCCTGCGGAGTAGCTTCTGACCTTTTTGGATGGTCCTCGCCTGCCATCCGCTTCGAACGTAAACTTCGCCTTTGCCGGACCCTGACACAGAGACGCCCCCACTTAAGCCATCAGCAAGCTGAGGCTCAGTATTTGTGAGTGGTAGAAGTCGTCGCCGGAGATCAGATATCGCAGTCGATCCCCGAATGGGACTAGACGCAGTTGGACTAGTGGGTGACGTAGGTGACGGCGGCGAAAGGGCTACCCCGATTTGTGAACTGTGTATACTGGGTGTTGCCGAACTTGAAGCCCGAGTGGGAAGATAGTCACCGAGTTCCTGACGCTCGAGAGTGCTCTGAGAGTCACTCCCATCATCGATGTCGTCCCAAGCTTCCAGCGTTGTAAGGATCTTTTTGATAGATCGCACGACATTGAAATATACGACGGTTCTCCATGACATGCGCTCGCTTTCAAGAGAAGCAGGGCTATACATAAGCTGAAACTGCTTTTGCAGGGTTGATTTGCCAGATTCAGCCTGGCCAAGGAGAAGTAACTATGGTATACGATGGTGATCAGCTCCACAGCCCAATCGTGCCAAAAAATGACTTGAAATGACCTTGACATCACTTTTGGACTTTTTCAACCTTTCCCTCTCAAACCTGAGTTCTTCGTCTATCTGTTCTGAGATTCGACGCGCTTCGGCTTCGTGCTGCAGCCGAATATGGCGATCTGAGTCTGATTCTTCTGGAGGAGGTCTTATAGCAAGAGACAAGGGGTCATCTTGGCTACGAATGGAAGAAGTTCGTATCATCGTGGTACAGAGACAAGAGCGGAGTGAGACAAAAAGCCGTTGTATTACTTATACGAAGAATGGTTTCGAGAGAACTATTAAAGAGCAAGGGCAGTCACAGCCCGTCGCATCACATTGTCACATTGTCACACATGGTAATTCGTCCTTCTCCTCCATCAACGCATGTACTGACTCGTAGCTATCTTATAGTCTGTAACGCTTCACACAAGTCACGGCGAGCTCAAGGTGCGCTTATATATGCCCAACTAAAATCTCTGCGATTCACTCGGAAGTTTTGGGTGATTCAGATCGAGATATTCTGCGAGGCTGTCCCCAAAACGGCAGAGGTATGGAATTGCTTCCGTTTATCTCTTCCGAGCCTAACAAGCCCTAGAACTTTCTTGCGCTATGCGCTTCGAATTATTATGATAATTGCATATTTCATCGCAGCATCAAAGGGTTCATGGTCCAGACGGGCGATCCTTCTGGCTCAGGAAAAGGTGGCCAAAGCATATGGGGGAAACCCTTCGAAGATGAATTGCGGTCTACTTTGAAGGTACCGGATACCTTTACCCGCGCACATGGATCTTCACCAATCATTTTTGTAGTTCAACCATCGTGGTATAGTCGCCATGGCGAACTCCGGCCCCGATACGAACAAGTCGCAATTCTTCATAACCTATGCAAAACAGCCTCATCTGGACAACAAATATACGATTTTTGGCAAGGTCATTGATGGTGCGGAGTCCGCACTTGATGCCATGGAACGTGTACCTGTGAACAATAAGAACAGACCGCTTTCCGAGATCAAACTGACACATGTATGTTATCACTGGTGGATTAGGCAGCAAGTGCGCTGATAAGATATTCTTTGATCATCATTAGGTGACCATTCATTCGAATCCCATTGCGGATGCTCAGTTAGTCTCACGTTGATACTAAAACGAACCTTTCGTTTGTTTGAGTGCGAACTCCAAAATCGTCACATCAGACTAATGTTCTTTACTGCTATAGAACACTTCAGGGTATGCTAACGCTTAATAAAACCAACCAGCTCTTTCTGCAACTCTCTTTGTCGTCGCGCTTTGTTTAGGTCATCCATGCTTCGCAGATCATAGACGATATCACGTGTTTTGCCAAAGTACACCTGTGCTATGATCAGGTCCTGAATGTCTCGAGAAAGAAAAAACTTCGTGCCTCTTGAAGAAGATTTCTCATTTTCATCTCCATCTCCTCGATCATCTTTCCCGTGTTCGTAATATGTGAAGTTGGTTCATGAACAGGCCAGTCCTGCTCGGTCTGTGGGAAGTAAAGGTGTGTGACAGCCCACATCAGGTTAGATGAGGAAGCCTACCTGTCTCGTCATGCTTCCACTTAAAGTGATTTCCCCCGACGACTTCCATCCTTGCTCGGAAGCCTTTTTTTCGGGTTCGTGGAGAACGGAGGTTTCATCGGCCTTATTGTTCTGTTTCGTCACGAGCTCCAACATGACAGTAGATGTGAGCTTGTAGTGGGCTTGTCTTCCGCGCTCCACGGTCTCGAAGACATGGATGGAGTCCCATGAACCTGAAGGCTCGTCAGGGCTTGTGGGTGTCATCGCTAAGGTGCGGCAGTTAGAGGCACGATCTTAGAACGTCGAAAACACAGATATCAGTCGGTTACCCACCTTTTTTGAGCAACACAACACCTGCAAAGCCGCCATCTTCTAGATCCCAAAGATAAACAGAAGACACGCCACCTTCGTAATATCTATTGTCAAAATTTATTAGATGATACTTGTGCAAAGATTTACTACAAGCCCATTCATGTATGACACGTACAGTTCGCGATATGTATCGAACGCCTCATTGGCGGCAATCTCAAGCTTGCGAAGCTTCGGTGTTGGTGAGGTACCATCGTCTATGGGAGGATCGTATTCATTCGACCAAGGTGACCTGAAGAAGCGCGTTAGTACGCGAAGTACATTGTCTCGGATGCATGAGATAAGATTAGAGCCCTTGCCGCTCCACAAAACCCAACTTATGCAGTCGCCTTGAACACATTCCCCGGAAGCGCAGCAGAAGACTCACCGATAACTGTCACCGTCCCTATTGTAATCGCATGCAAGATAGTCCTTCCCTGTGGCTCTGTCTGTCTTGACCTTCAGAGGCTGGTCGACACTACCTAGAAGATCATCTGCATAGTCCGGGCAGATCTGTATGAGCGCGTTCACGTTCTCCTCGACATTGGTAGGCGGGAGGCGACGCATCAGATCGAGCATGGAATCAACTGGGTCTGGACCTTCTGCCATCTCGGACTGCTCTGCGGACGGTTGTATGAGCTTGAACAGAATAATTGATAAACGATCTTGAAGGAAACTGGCGTTCTACCATGGCGCATCTGGATTCTGAACAGCATCCGGCGGCAAAGCCAAAACAGGATGTTAGCCTTTGGTCATGTCCCACTTTACTTTAGCTCAAACCACAACAATGGCGATTGAATTACTCTCATGTCCTACAGAGCTAATATGGCGCATCCTATCAATTCTTGCCCCAAGGGATATTTGTCGCTGTGCAATAGTCGGTTATTTCCCGCTGTTCCATGTTACTTCTGAGATGAACTTACTTCTGGTTTCAATGTCAGACCTGCAGAGCCTTCTGGAATATGATCCAGAATTCTGTACACATTCAATACAAGCTCGAGCTTTATGCTCAGGGTTTCACTAAGACCACTACCCTGGACTCGATTGGTGTATCCAGAGAGATGTCCTCGCTTAAGAGATCGACATCTTTGTGGCGGTCTGGCTTACATTTGAACACGGTCTTGGAAGAACGACTGATGACTTCTACCTTCCCCGAACATCCCTCACTACCATGGCTACGATTTGGTATGAAGTGTGGTCTTTTGTGGATGTTGGTACAGAGTGGTCTCTTCATTAGGGACTATAACACAAATACCAACCTTTCCCGGACGTGGGCCATACATGACTTGTCCTCTCAGCGCCGCCCGAATTTTCTTACTGTAGATCCTCTGCAAGATCTTGTGGTTATAGTCTCCTTGCCTGGATTCGTCACCGTGACCGACACCGAACAAGATTACCATTCCTTTTGGGTGGAATGTCGGTCAGCTTCATCCCAGCATCCCCACCCGGACTCTGTCTGCGCTTCCTTGGAGTGCAAACATACTTTTGATATACGTGGCGTGTACCATATCGATTTGATTGGAGATCCTGCGATCTATGGTGATTATATATTTGTCTTTTATTACATAGAGAACAAATCTTATAAACGTGCGTCTGCCACGTTCATGCAAGCTATCGATTGGAGGAAAGGATATGTGAAGCGTGTGAGTACCTTTGTTCTTGAGAATTCTGCTGCTTAGTATATGTAGCATCTTTTCCCAGACTATTATCAGCAAGGCTCTCAGCATCAATTCTACGTAGTCGACCAACGGACAATTGTTGTCATTGGCTCGAGCTTTATAACCGTGCACACATTACAGGATATCGATGGGTCGCCGCAGCCCAGACTCACGTATCTCCTTCCAAAGTGCCACCATTCATCCTTTCCATTCATGATTGTTCATGCCAGCCCATCGTTCAGTGGCACAGCCCCTCGCGCAGATCTTATGCCCGGCTATGTGCCCTCTCTAGAGTCACAAATCATTGTTTTAGAGCTTATCTCACGCCCCTGCACACTGTCTATTATTCTGGTCATCGATACAGTGATCTTCCCAGGAGCGGCTTTGCAGTTAGAGACACATGGCAAGATTCCCTGGTCCGACTGGGGACCCCAGCATACGTGCTGCTTTCCGCATGACCCTAGCTACCAAATCAGCGTGTTCGGTAGCAAAATGGCTTATACCCTCCCTCGAGATCATTCCCCTGAACCTGGACAAAGATTGGAAAAACTCTCCGCCGCGGGTCACTTCTACATCCATATCTGGGACTTCAATAAACGAGTGATTGCTCGTTCGGGGAATTTCTACAATCCCGACTCACCAGACCTTCTCATTCGTAAGCCTGGCAGGGTAGTTCAGTCGTGCTTTGATGAGGAAATCATCTCGAATCACCCTTACACTGCTACCGTCTGCCGTGCTCCATTTTTGACGCATGGCTTGCGTGAATTATTCTTAGAACAGGATAGACTTACCTTGACCTCGGTAGGTTTTCTTAGTTGTGAGAAAAACGATGGTTTAATGTGACCTACAGGTGCAACCTGGTACAGTTGATATTCAAGTCGTCTCTCCTATACAGGTGGATGTTGGGTCGGACTTTACACGCTAGAAACAATTTCAGTTGTGCAGGATGAATGACAAGTTATCATGCTTCCGAGTCATGCGACCAGTCACATTACCGTGGAATCAGACCGTTTGTATTTGCATGAGTGGTGCATTGGTGTTTCAGTTTCTCCTGATCCTCCACTTTGGTTGGCAAAAGACGACCGCATCAGATCAAGCAGGTCTAGCTCTTCCGATTCCGTGCTTGACTCTGCGGACGATCAAACTCTCTTGCGCAGAAAAATTGATATACGAAATTGAAGGAAACGTTCGTGAACAGTATCCCGCGGCAAACGGCACCAGACTCAGCCACAACGGGAAACTTACGAAATTCAAAAGCCCTGCCCTGAATCTGCCCTGAGCTTCGTACTGTACGACTTATCGCTACCGAACTAACGTGTCAGACATCCAAGGGACATTTGTGGCTGCTCAATAGCTAGTCAACCGTTTCCCCACTGTTTTATGTTTCCTCCCATGAACTAATAGACTAAGTTCTCGTCAGACCTGGAAGGCCTTCTGAAATGCCATTTCGTGCTATTGGCGGCAGCACGTGAAGTCACTAAAGTGTGGGCTTTGATGAATAGAGGACCGGATCTCCTTACACTGTCACTGTCCGACAAACACCTTTTCTGGCGGATTACCCCTGGTTATTCTTGGAACAGGATCCGCTTATTTTATCTTAGGTAGGTGTTCTCAGCCTCGAATGCACCGATAATCTAACTGTAGGTGCGATCTCAGGATTGATATTTAGCTCGTTTCCCCTGTGAAAATGAAGGTTGTGTCGACTAGAATAAATCTCGGTGGTCTATCATAAACAGCAAGTCATGATGCCTCATGCTCCGGTCTTGAGTAAATTTATCCTTAGACTTGAAGCAGACAGTTGTGTATTTGCATTATACTTTGATAGGTGGGAGACGATCCATCAGATCGAATTTTGTTGAAGCAACTCGATCTGATGCTTCTTCCACATCTTATGTGGGGGTCGTTTGGAACGAAGACTAGATATGAAAATTGCAGGGAACTGTATCCATCTACCGTCTCGTCGAACAACAGTGAACATCATACGTAGGCCGAAACAAGGAGGCAGATCTTACTCTCAACTCAATAGGTCCATTGCACAAGTATTTTCTTCTCAGACATAAAGATGGCGTTCGAATTCTTCTTACCTACAGAGCTAACGCTAACTTGCCACATCTTATTACTTCTTCCTCCAAGGGATAAAATTTGTCACTGTGCAATGGTCGGTTATTTTCTGCTGTTCCATATTGCTTCCTAGATTAATTTACTTCGAAGATGCCAGCCCATCATTCTGCGGTGCAGCCGCTTGCGCAGATCTTATGCCCAGCCATGTGCCCCCTCTAGAATTACAAATCCTGGTTTTGAAGCTTCTTTCGGGCCCTCAGGCCTCGGTGGTGCCCACTGTGTCATCATAAAGTTTATGCCACCAATCGGAGCACGGAATAACATGTTGAGGACAGCATCGACAACTCATCATGCATCATTCGGAAACAGACCTTGGACGAAACTATCTGATCACTATCCTTTTCTATATGATGGTGCTGGATGTAAGTACTACCATCCAGCGCTTATAACTTCGTATCAATCATTGTACTACTTATAACTTGTGGAGACAGGTATCCACGCAGAACGCTTGGGTATGATCGAAAAGCTGTTCAAAATTTTATTACCACCATCTTTAGAATACAAATAAAAATGAAAGGACAGTGGGAGAGAAGCAGAATCCGGGCCGTGCGTCGCCCTTACGACCACAGGAAGCCTTGATATCGAAGTTACACAAGCTCCGAGTCAAATGATGAAACGTATAGTGCCACTCTGATGGGAACACGTGCTACACTACATCCATCATGAATCATAGAAGGTCACTGGAGACCAAATAACTTGCACTGTTTGCTGTGTGAGGCTGTGGATAGCAGAAACGGAACATGCAAGCGTGTACAAGATCGGCGTTCGACCAAATATGTATGTATCCAGATGCGAACAGCCTGCCGGAATGTCCCGGCACCGCGATTCGGTTTCCTGCATTCGTGCCACAAGTTGTGCCGAGTTCGTCGTACCTACCTTGCACTTCAGCTTCCTCAGTCGCACTTACGGTTTTTGTTCAGACCCACCACCACCCCCTTCAAATTTTCTTCGCTTCGCAGTTCGCTTTCCGTAGTCCCTTTCCTTGTATTATGAGGTATCAATACATATTTCGTTTTCGAAGCTACCCGAAGAGTGGTTCGACATGGTCGAATTTGTAAGCAGGTATCCCGCTCTCGCGAGCGGCTCCCCTCGCTTGTGTCCCATCCTGAGCTAACGCTCGGTCCAGTCCAACCTGTTAGGTCAGCGATTCTCAAGCCGGACAGACAAAGCAGTGAGCACTGTGGTTCTGCTCACATCCAACACACGCTTGAGCTTTATGCCCATGGCTTCGAGACTGCTACCCTGAATTTATGCAGTTTTCCAGAAAGATGGCCTGACTCACAAAAAAGATACCTTGTTTGTTTGTTTTTTTGGAAGGAGATCCTAGAAATCTGCGGCTATCGTACTATCTCTTGGAGGAAGGGATATGTGAATGGTGTAAGCCCTCTGTTGAGAAGTCTCTGCTTCACATTCTTTACATTGACGACATGGCTGCAGTGAAAACATTTTCCGTGTAGTTGACGAACGGACCATAGGCATGCTTACCTCGGTTGGCCTTATAACCTTGTGCACAGTACAAGAACTTGACGCGTCGAATCACCGATCACCTTCCCGAGGACCATTTCTACGGCTGGCCATTGACTGTTGTTCATGCTACCCATGGTTCAGGCGCAGCGGCTCGCGCGGATCTCATGTCTGGCCATGTACCCTCCCTGGAGTCACAAATCATGGTTTCAAAGCTTTTCCCTACCGAACCTTCTGTCATTCTAGTCACCGACATGGTCATCTTCTCAGGGACAAGTTTGGGCTCAAAGACGCCGTTGATATTCCCTGATCGCATTACCCCCAGTATGTGTGCTACTTTCCGCATAACCCAACCTATCGAAACAGTGTGTTCGGTAGTAAAATGGCCCATGCCTTCCCTCAAGACCATACCCCTGAACTTGGACAAAGACTGGAAACACTTTGCCGAGGGTTCCGTCTATGACTGCATCTAGGACTTCGATCAACGAGTCACTGCTCGTTCGGGAGGCAAGCATAATCCCAACTCGCCAGACCAAGTTCTCATCCGCGAGCCTAGTCGGCTAGCTCAGCAGAGGTCACCGGTCACCTCGAATCATCCTTACATCACTGCCGTCTACCGCGGGCCTTTTAGATGTATAGCTTCCGCAGTTTATTCTTGGAAGATCGAATTGCTTTACAGCTACCTTCAAATCGATAGGCCAGAATCCATTTTTGTTCATTCACCGCTTTTGTTTAGTTGTGGAGCTGGCCAAACAAAAGGGTCCCGCCTATTACGATACTTTGTCGGGTGAGATACCCCAGAATGGTACTGGACTGCGCAACTTCTATGATATGGTATGCGGTTCGTTTGACGCTGTGTCTGACACCCTTCTGAGCTCACTGCTGGTAATACCGGTATGACTATTTATCACCAACTCATCATGGTATATTTAACATTGTCTCTGTTACTTCGGATCATGCCAGCACAGTGAGCTCAGCATTAAGTAGTACTTGCATGCTTCACTCGAGCAACCGGCCTTGGATGACATTTGGGCAGACATAGTGACATATTATTGCTTTATGGCTACTGGAATGTGATGGCGATTTCCAGCCATAGCGAAAATGTCCAAAGACAGTGTCGAATGAGAAAGCTGCGCAGGTCCAGTGCCATTCCGGGGTATCTCGCCCCGACGAAGTATCGTAATAGGCAGCCTAAGGCAGGACCCTGTTGTTTGGCCAGCTCCACAACTAAACAGAAGCGGTGAATGAACAAAAATGGATTCTGGCCTATCGATTTGAAGGTAGCTGTAACATGGTTAGGTGCTCTTAGTTGTAAATATAGAATAGTCTAACGTGGCCAAACTGTAGTTGCGACATGACAAGAAAGTTGATATCAATGTCGTTTCCCCTAAGATAAAGATGGATGTTGGGTCGGATCTCGCAAACTAGAATAAATTGTAGTGGCCCAGGATATCGATAAACACCAATCGTCCCATGATCATGATCAGCTGTCGGACAGCCTTACTAGATAGCAATCTTCCGTGTATCGCTACGGCCATCACCTACACATTGACAGCTCCATTATCTTCTTGCTTCTTATCTCGTACGCGCCCTGCCCCTTTCTCGAATCTTTCCGGTTCATTATGCGCATTCGCCAATTCCATAACGTTGAATTTCTGATATCGATAATAATCTTCAACAATACTCACGCCAACGGTGCTCTGCATAATCTTAAGATCTGAAACAGATCTGAACCGAAACACAGCACGGACCTTGAAGACTTCCACTAGAACGAACACATCAGGGTCGTCGAGGTCGACGGTATAATTTGATGGCATGCATTTAGCTACTTCTTGGATGATCTCCATTCGTGTCAGCGTGTTGTGGTTGCGCATGCGCAACTCGATCTTGTACTAAAACATACATTCAATAAATCGCGAACGTCGACTTGTCTGTATACGTACTTTGCGAGCCCTCGGGGACCCCTCGCTATTCTGATTCTCCGGAGCGCAGTACGCAGCAACGGTTCGACGACATAAAGAATGGAGCTCCGGAAGGTTCGCAACGCATGTGCCGGAGATCGGTGTCAACCGATGCGTGTATCTGTCAAGCCGAGTGAGTACGAATCGAAGAACGAGTACAACGTATGGCTGTTACTTTGTTCTCGTAACGCCCGTTTTTTGAACGTTTTCTACGTGTTTCATCACCAATTTTACTGGGTCCACAGGGGGTTTACATGACATGAAGATGACTGAGTCAGAACAGTCAAGATAAGTTTAGACTGATAAAAAGCGCGTGTTCGTACCACAATTGGTGTTTGTCAGGCAGTTGGCTAGACCTCGCACCATCAGCTTGAGCTCGAGAAATAACTCGGAACAGCAGAGTTTCACCCACCAAACCGCTTCTCCACTTTTGGCCGCTTCAACGCAGCGACCTCTTTCGCAATCTGTGTTTCCAGATCATCTTCATTCTCATCCACATCCGAGCCGTTATCCCGAGAGGACTCAGATTCATGCCCTTCAACGGGCCACAAGTCAGCAGCTAACTATCAACGAGCACCATAAGCCGCGCGCGAGATCCAGCGTCGACAGAGGAGAGACTTCACCGATTCAAAGAGATCATAGAGCTCGCCGACCGTTCCTTGTTCTTTTCCCTTTACGCAGGTTGCCCAGATTCCTGGTCCCTCGATCGTTCGTTTTACCCAGGTGGGCGATACACCGTCCTGTCAAATGTCTATCGGTATCATGATGGAGATCCGGAGAGTTTTGTTGATTGTACTAGTACTCACTGATCGATATTTGCGTTTACGACCATTAGAAGGGCCGCTTTGTGCTTCTGTCATTCCTTTGGATGGAAATCTGAAAGTCGTTCGAGGTGCTGAGGGTCGGAACTTTGTTTCAGACGTGCCGATACTTGGAAGTTCACGTTCAGGTACCGCGCGCGCCTAATCAAGACAAACAAAGTTTGCCTCGCTTCTGCAAGATTTTGCAGACGCTTGCATACAGCGAATTACAGGTCATGTATTATACATAATGAAGCGAGTCTGATATAATAAGCGTCCAACGGACCCAAGTTGCAAGACAACAAACTTTGACCCATAAATAATATGAGGCGTCCAGTGACATTTATTTTAAGTTACTATTCCTCCTCCTCGTCCTCCTCCTCACCATCTTTTGCTTCGCCACCAGTCCACTTCCGTTCCCATAGTGGGGGTGGAGAGTCTGGATGACGCCGTAATAATGGATGATCAACGGGGAGGGCACTTCTCGCCACCATCAGACGCTGCTTGAAGACTGCATGCTGTGACAAAAGCTCTGTAACGTAATCGATAGCTGTAGTGCAAGATTAAAATAAATACGAATCAAAAGGAGAAATGCGGTTTGAGTACTAACTCTTTGAGAGCACGACATGTTCGCTTTTTGGACCGGCCCTGCCGTCGGCCTTCTCACCGTCGTCATTTGTTGACTTTGCTTTACACCGTCGTCTGCCAGCTTTCTTCCCGTTCGCGGCTGCTTCTTCTTCCATTGCCTCAGCCAACATGGCTTCCCGTAGAGAGGGAACGATGTCGCACAAAGCCTCGTAACCCCTTCTTATATTAGCTCTGCGCTTCTGCTCCGATTGTATATGATTTGCTTTTTTCTGCGAGGGTGATAGAAGCGTTGACGCTCTACCGGAGTCACTCGCAAATTGTTGCGAAGTAATTGATGACTGTCGCCGCCGTTTATTGGAAACATTATGATCCAGTGGCGGAGATCGTTTATTTGACGAGACCGGTGTAGGAGTGGTATGGTGCGTGGAGAAGGATGAAGCTGAGGAAGACGGATCAACGGGAGACTGACTGGATGATGAGGATGATGCATTATCGAAAGTGAACGTTCTTGCTCTAGTTCTGGTAGAGACTGATGCAGGATCCGCGGTTCGTTGGAGAGGGGGTATGTGTACACGATTGCGGGACAGTAGCTGGGAATGGCCTGTGGTGGGGTCATTGCTCTCTACACGTCGTTCTCGACGGGTGGAGTAGAGAAATGACAAGGAGTTTGACTGTGACTGGGAATGACGGTGAACCGGTGGTTCCGACGGAAACTCACGAGATGAAGGAATGCGAGTGAGTGGATACCGCCATTTATCCGTATCCAGTGACATGAGGTCTTTGGTTGCTTGAGCCAACGCCTCTCTGCCGTGTGCTGGAGGCATATGCTCATGCGAGACTTCTAGCTCCACATTCCATGCTGCTGAAAAGTCGGTAGTGTCGAGCGATGAAAGGAATTTCTGAAAGGCATGAGCCTCAGTAGGAGTTAAGAGCGACATATGAGTCGTTGAATGAGAGCGAGTACTTTAACGAGGAGCACTTTTGTACTCTTGTAGGTTTAGTAATTCGCACAGGATGATGAGAGTTGAATTTAAAACCATCGCAAGGCTGAATTTGCTGTTACGGCCAGTTCGGGATTCATGCGACAGGTGGCTGTGCTTCCCCATGGGATCTTGCCTTTCTTGGTTCCGCGAAAAAACCTATGCTGTTTGCGTACTACCGGTAAATGGATCCCTTATGAATCACGCACACGGCTTGATATGAAGATGATGTAGCTACATGCAGTACTAGCTCTTTCTTTTAATCCAACCTTGTTATATATATCGGAATAGTTTCGGTGACGATCGGAAGACGACTCCAAACGTTGCAACGGCGATGGGTGACGAAGAAACGATGCATGATCTAGGATTAATCTGAGACAAAGGTACGAGGAAGGGGGGGTGCGTGCTGGGTGCATATACTCATGTCACTACCTCATTGGCGCTTAAATCTGCCGTACCTGTCATGAAATGAAACATGTTGGCCGAAACAAGTCCCGTTCATCGCATAAACATCTACAACTTTTATCCAGGGAAGGCATAGTACTTATTACTGAAAGGCTTACGGGCCCGCTGCTAGGCTACATCAGCAGGATATCCCGTTACTAGCAATTCTTAGTTTGAACTTTCGTATCCGATACGGCACAGGTTCCGTTCTCATCGCGGGAGGAGGACCTTCACGTTCCGTTTTCCTGTCATCGATAATGATCGACTGCGTGTTTGATACTTACCAACTTATCCACGGAGGTTCTGACGACCCGGCTATGCACCCGGCCTTTGGCGCAAGCGGTGCATGGCGATGATTAATCATTACACATATTACCCGAGATGCTTAGAGCTCATCGCCGGAAACAACGAGCTCGAGTATCGGCTCGACAGCCGGTACTGTTCCAGGAAGTAGCTTCAACCCGGTTATTATCATTTCGGATCTCGTTCTTGCCTCGGGCACTTGGTAGCACGGATAAGGAATGATTCATGATGATGATGTAGATGATTAGTGATTAGATAACCTTGGCAGGCTTAGGCTATTCCGAGTCGGCCTCGGCCTCGGGAGGTTCGGGTTACTGTCCAATGGGCAGTTTCGAATAAACGCTAATCAACTCGATATTATCACAAGTTCTAGCCAAACTGGCTGGCACTGCCCCGGCGCTCTCTCTTCATTCATCATGTCCTGCATAGCAGAGTCTAGGTCTACGCCGGAGCGCTCGCTGTCGAGACTAACTCGGACTGGTACATGATCACGTTCTCTGTCTCAAACCATCGAGCCAACACAATAATCCCAAACTTTGCTCATACCCGGACCGTATAGATATCACAAGAAATCATTGTTCCAAAGTACCAAGGTTTGGTCCACGTCGCAATTATCATCAAACAAGCGATCTCAGCGGCTTCAGTGGCCTCAGCATCCCGCGAATCACTGGGATGGTGTCTATATAAGGGCTTTGTACGTCTGTTTTGAATCTGATTGGTCAACCCTGACCATGCGAATCAGATAGCGATAATCCTTCAAGCTTCAAGCTTCAAGTCGAGCAAGGCTAGAAAGCAGCCGTCACCAATGAGCGGGGAAGCAGAGTTAAGAGTGACTTTCTTTCCTCCACTCTATCTCCAGAGAAGAATATGGGTGCTAGATGTTCTTCGCCGCGAGCAGGTCATCGAGGTCAGTCTCGAATCAGTCTCGAATCACCGAGTGATCAGTCTCATCTCCTGCCTAGATCATAGACATCGGGTGCGGGGAGGGTCAGCTACTCGCAGTCCTCTGTCAACCTGCACTTTGTCTTCCCCCTCCTGACCCTGGCGTATTGGCATCTCCTAGCGATGCGACTACAACCACAATCCAAGCGGGTGATCTCGATCTCCACCCGAGGCGCATCACCGGCCTCGATATCTCATCTCACGCACTTGCATCCGCGATCGAAGACACCTCCCCCGCTGCCGCAAACGCATCATACACACGATGGGAACCACTCGAAGTCAACATCTGGCATGGCGGACTCGAGATCTTCAACCCAGTCTTTGTCAATGCAGAATGCATCGTTGCAACAGAGGTGTATGTCTATTCCGTGCTATCATCGATCTGTTTCTAATGCTTTTCATTTCAAGCGTCGAACACCTCCCAGAAGAAATTCTCGCTGATTTCACGCCCATGATCTTGGGCGTGTACCACCCTCGCTTACTTCTCGTGACAACCCCATCGTACGGGTTCAACGCGCGTTTCAGCCCTCCTGGCTCGACGAACACCGCCACTGGCTTCCCCGATCCTACGAAACGCACAGATAGGGTGTTCAGGCACCACGATCACAAATTTGAATGGACAGTCGAGGAGTTCCAGGTGTGGTGCAGTGGCATTGCGCAGGAATGGGGATACGATGTGGATACGACGACTATTGGCCGTGCACAGGAGAAAGATAAGTGGGGCCGGGATGAACAGCTAGGGGGTGCGAGCCAGGTGGCTGTCTTTAAGCGCCTTGAAGGCGAGGCTTGGGCTACGACACGCGAGGAGAAGAGTACCCAGATGAAAGAAAAGTCAAAAAGCCAAAAGGACCATCGACTTCTGGAAACACACCACTATGACGCGCATGTCCGTGCGGGAAAACGAGGCTCGACCGAGGAGATTGCGAAGGCTGTATTGGACAAGTTTGAAGAATGGGAAGAAGCTGAGCTGCGATTGGAAGAAATCTGGTTTGTAGAGGAGATCGGGGCGATGTGTGGTGGGTGGTTCGAAGTTCTCATCGAGGCTATCGAGGGAAGTGCGAAGTTTAATCTTCAAAGAAGCAAGGACCAGAGAAGGGGAGATTGGCGCGTGCTGCTAGATGGAGGCAGACCTGGGAAGAAGAAGAGGACGTCAGAGTGGACTCCGGAAGAACCGACGGATGATTTGTTTGAAGAAGTCGTGCAGGAAGGATATCGTTCTGATGATGACCCGGGATTTGACTGGGGAAGTGGTCTGTATTCTTCAGACTCTGGCGTTGATCTTCTGTGGGATATTAGCAAAGAAGGTAATGCATGGGGGAGGCAGTCTGCTTGGACGTGCGAATCTTCGGAAGAGGACGTAGTTGAGTGGAGCAGGTGGAGCACCTTATCTGCAGCTTGGGACCTTGACAGACCAGAATGAGTCCCGAGTACAAGACTTAGTATAATTCATTGCTAATAGACATAGACTGGCTTGACTATAGATTGTGGGGCCAAGCTCTGAAATAGAACGAGTGACTATTCATACGAGAGTCATGATGGTACCTGCCCCGGAAAGCTCCTGCCAAGGTACGCCCGCCGCGGGCCGATCAGCTGAACGGCCGAGCAGAGTTCAAAAGGACGGTGACACGCTGCTCAGCGTCGATGACAGCGGCGACTAAGATACATCTATAGCATCCCGATTGCAATAGGTTTACCAGAATAGATAACCTTGAGATAAACCATCAATCTTTGGCCCCTTCGCTGCAATCTTGATGATAGGCGGCAATTTTAGAATGACATGTTTGACAGATGACCGAGAGAGTCATGGTGTTGCCTAGCGGGCGCCTGTTTCGACGGTCCCGGTCAGAGCTGCTGCACGAATGGATTGAGAGCGAATCAAGTGCATGAGTGGGCTCGAATGTCTTGCCATTGAGAGTATGTTGAAGGGTTGGTGCCATCTGAGCAGTCGTCATCACCAGCTGCATCGAGTGGTTGTCAGAAACAACGATATATTGAATATTCACGAATACTAACAAATGATTAATGAGCCGTGATACAGGGCCCAGGGGACACAAATTGCAATATATGCACATCTTTGCTGATGTCCTGTTGCATAGCTAAAAAAGACGACGTCGAACAGTTATGTTTCATCGACAATCAAGAAGGAACGACTTGTCTATATGATGACCTTATGGTCCGGCTAGGGGGAGACAGAGGCGTTTGATCATGAGAGGGAACCCGGAACGTTGTATTCGAATCGGGACAGGTCGGAACAAGGTTCATTGTTTGACGACCTGCCCTGAAGGACGCAAAAAATGTAATAGCCGGATGACGATAGGGCCTGCCATGACAAAATGTTTCAAAGTGCTATTTCGCGGGGAGTAAGTGGTACATGGCTGGAGCTTCCGGGGGCCTACGCCCAAACGGACAAGAAGGACCGTATTCCTATCCGAGTACACCGGAAGACACCCAATGTGTCGTTTTGTAAGAGATTTCTGCTTTCGAGAGTAACTTAGATCATCATGAGGCCCCTAGTTCCTCAAAGGAATTACAGTAGACTGCCCAGCTGCACGGTGTTCTAGCGAGTGCTCTTGTCCACCAATTTTGAGTCTTTGTTGTACCTTAATTCACGAATTAAAACACGCTACTAAATCTCATACTCCTGGTTTTAGCTAGCTAAATGCAGCGGCTGCGAAGGAAACGTGTACACATGATACGAACGTATATGGAACCGTTCCGCCATTTGCCGTCCATTATCTGAACCATTTGTAAAGGGAAAAAAATTATTTGCCGTGACACCTCGAGGCAAGGAATCGGTCAGTAGCCAGAATCTAATCACCCATTACTGAACAATGAACATGCCAACATGAGGCTTGCAGGTCAGCGACTCCCACCACGCCGCAGGCCCGCAGCCAATAGCTGTATTGATAGGGTTTCATGACTGACGAAAGATGGCCGCCCATAGAAAACGACCAACTGCGAGGGCGTCGCGCTCGAGAATTTTGATCTCTACCTCGTACGGCCATTTCATGATGAACCATCAATTAATCAAAAAATTGATGGTCATATTGGTGGACCGAAATGGCAATGAAATGACCGACATGAACGCACCCTGGGCCACAGGGCCACACATCCGCACTACCGACGTGCCATGAGCATCGTAAGTACGAGGACGTGATGGCTGCCAACGACTTGTCCGCGGAACTCATAGCAAGAGGCGCGCTGCGCGCTTCATGATTGTGACGGAAGCATTGCCCCATTTGCAAGACGGCTGTGACAGTTGCGTGAGTGTTTGTGGAGACTGATAAAGGAGGGTTTACATTAACGTGAATATAAATCCATATTTGCGTAGCCAACTGCCACGCGACGATAATATAGTGGC